TGATTTGAGATGGGACGGGGGGGAAAGGAATGGTGCTCAACTACTTGGACGGTCGGGGATTTTAACGTCAACCTGCATGAAGCGAGACCGTCCACCACAAGTGGTAGTGTTAGCTTAAAGTAGTGTAAATCATTTAAGCGGTAAGAGTTGCTGTGATTTATATTTTCAGACCTTCATCAATGCAACCCGTTCTCGCACTTGCTTATAGTCAATATTGGCTTATTTAATAAGTGCTTATGTAACATACTAATTGATTGTAAATATTTTAGTTTACCTTGAAAAGCTTCATAGAAAACACCGACCTCACCTAACCTTCTTAGTATGTTAAGATAAGCATCTTATTGCTTCTTATTTACAATTATTACGTAACCTATACCGTTGATAAGTTAAGTAATAATTGTAAATAAGAAGCAATAAGATGCTTATCCTAACATACTAAGAAGGTTAGGTGAGGTCAGTGTTTTCTATGAAGCTTTTCAAGGTAAACTTTAAATATTCACAATCAATTAGTATGTCACATATGCACTTATTAAATAAGCCAATATTGACGGTAAGCAAGTGCGAGAATGGGTTGATCAATGTCATCCATTGTTTTTACTTAGTTTTTACACTGATATTGTGCATTATGATGTCATAATGTGAACTGATGCACTAGGAGGTACAGAATATTGATATACACAAATAAATGCATCACTTGTAATATGTGCACCAGTATGGTTTATTTCCTTCTCATTTATATTTTTCCCCATTATTATATATATTTACACTTTCACACACTATGTACTCCATACTACACACTCGGACGTTCTGTGGGGTGTTATAATCCTGGAAGCGGTTTACAACTCTTTTTACATTAAGCGGTTTACATAAGGCAACTCTGCATTCCTTGCATCTAATAGTAGCTACCTTCCATGGCCTCTCTCGCATGTGTGCACGCTTAGATAATGCACTCGTGCTCTTTTTGCCTTTTTCTTTACGAACAATATGTTCAAGCTGTCATAAGGGCATCTTTGTAACCAAGTCTGTTTGGAGCAGTATGAGGCATTACTGCCAGGGTAACTCCTGTTGCAACATGACCTTGTCCAAACTTTACAAGCAATTGTGGCAATGGCAAGACTAAGTAAACACATTTTTGGTTTTTGCCTGAGTTCACTAAATACATGAGGTAACTGTTCAACACAGTTATAGCCACAATGTGAAAAAAACATTTTCTTTGTCCACTTAACACTTTTTACACACATTCCCAGCACAGAAATGAAAAGGAGTTCAAAAGGGCGACGCTGAGCAATAAGACTCACGTCCCTAAGACTACCTATTCCACAGCGCCAATCATCATGTCAAATTAATCAATCTAACGCATGTTTATATTATAGTCCATGTCACAATTTGGTTTGCATATTTTACCTTTGGCTGTATGCTTCACCTTGCCATTGTCTACCATCTCACCAGTGTGAATAGTTAACATATTTACTACGTGTCTGTCTTTCAAACTGCAGGAGTTTTAAATCTTATGCTACACCTAAAAACAACTCTAGTTGGTATGTGCATAACTGATAAAACAACCCTGATTAAGTGCAGTTAAAGGGTTAAGGAGGGGGGGGGGAGTGTAAAAGGTACCATTGTCACAACGAAAGACAAAGCCACTCCAGGTAACACAGAAGTCACCACTGGGGCTTGGGGTTCAACCCTGACACAGAAGTGGATAGGGGAAATGGAGAGAGGTCAGTTGGAGTAATCAAATAAATCCTGATCTGGGCCCAATGTAGCCCTATCTTCCATCAATGGCTGACTCCGAAAGGCCTTATTTCCTATCCCACGAGCCTGTATTACAGAAGTCAGTTCATTTTTCATGTATCGTTTACATAAGTTTGGGTCCCAAAGCCAAGGCATACATCCTACCAGGACACCAAGGGAGGCCGACCACTGGACAAAGCAAAAAGGGATGTGTCGTCCTAAGCAGTGCTCAATTTTTTTATCAGGAGTCCTACTGCATTGTACATTCTCCCACACTGGTGCAAAGGCCTCTTTCTCCCTCTTGCCTTAACCTGGACACCCAACCATTGTCCAAGGGTAGCCACTCATAGCCAACTCCTCCAGTGAGTGGTCCTTTGATAACTCGAACAGGACCTCTACAATAATGTAATTTTGCATGTACTGCCTGGATATGGGCAGAGGAGGGGGGCCGAGGCAACTCCCCACACCAACCCCAGGGAGTCGTATATGAGCACCTTCCCCACAACAAGGCGACCCGCAACCAAATACCTGACCTAGCTGCACAAGATGGCCACTTCATAATTTCCTGTCATTTTATCCAGTCAAATATGCCACCTGGAGTAAAGGTCAGAGGTGGTTATGAATGTACAATGTGTAAAGCAAAGAAATCTTGTAGCATTTTAATTAATGAGGATAATATGTAATGTAATGCATGAATTTACTTTTATTTACACCATTTCTACAAAATATATAAAGCTATACATACTGTATTTTATCAAATTATTCCGACCTTTTCTACCCAATTTTCTGACATCCTTATAATCTACATATTTCAATTAAAGTGAGAAACCATTAATGAAGTATGGCGAGGCCAACACCATCTTTTGAGGTCATTTATTAAAAAGGAACAAAATGATAAAATCTGTGAATTATACGTGTTGTGTAATTCAGTACTTGTACAAGAACATCAAGATTTATTGTTCTATTGTAAGAAGTATTATACAGTACATCAGAATTATACAAGAGTGCATGGCTCTGTGTGATGAATTACAATAATTTGTAATGCAGTCTTTGCAAGCCATGCAAAGATTAATATTATATATATATATATAATATATATATATATATATATATATGTCGTACCTAATAGCCAGAACGCACTTCTATGCCTACTATTCAAGGCCCGATTTGCCTAATAAGCCAAGTTTTCATGAATTAATTGTTTTTCGACTACCTAACCAACCTAACCTAACCTAACCTAACTTTTTCGGCTACCTAACCTAACCTAACCTATAAAGATAGGTTAGGTTAGGTAGGGTTGGTTAGGTTCGGTCATATATCTACGTTATTTTTAACTCCAATAAAAAAAAATTGACCTCATACTTAATGAAATGGGTAGCTTTATCATTTCATAAGAAAAAAATTTGAGAAAATATATTAATTCATGAAAACTTGGCTTATTAGGCAAATCGGGCCTTGAATAGTAGGCATAGAAGTGCGTTCTGGCTATTAGGTACGACATATATATATATATATATATATATATATATATATATATATATATATATATATATATATATATATATATATATATATATATATATATATATATATATAATATATATATATATATATATATATATATATATATAATATATACATATATATATAATATATACATATATATATAATATATACATATATATATAATATATACATATATATATAATATATACATATATATATAATATATACATATATATATAATATATACATATATATATAATATATACATATATATATAATATATACATATATATATAATATATACATATATATATATATATATATATATATATATATATATATATATATATATATATATATATATATATATATATATATATATATATATATATATATATATACATACTGTATATATATATATATATTGTATATACACACACACACATATACACACAACAAGAAGCTGACTAACTCCTGGGAAACCTATCAAATCAGAAGCAAACTGCACCATTGTGTGATTGGAAATGTACCTAACTATTTCTGTCCCACCTGAGATTCGAACCTGGAATTCCTTATTGAGAGTTGACAACGAACCCAATTATACTACCAGGACCCGCATGTAAATAATGTTTTTATTTGTAATAAATTTTAGTTAAGATTATTGACATTGATCAACACTGCAGATTTTACCACTGCAATACAAAAGTAAATGTTCCTGCATGATTAAAGTACTTTGATGTAGCCTGGAATGATGGCTGTACTTCAAAATTGTTCTTTATGAATTTATTATGCATGTTTGACATATTTAGTCAACTTGGTAAACGAGCACATGACTCAGTCAATATACGGATAGCAATGAATGGGTAATGGTGCAAATCACCATTACTGAGATCACCTTCAGCTAGGTATTGCCGGCAAGCCTAACTCTCTATCTGTCTCTAACAATGACATACAATACTAAAATGTTGACCAAACCACACACTATACAATACTAAAATGTTAACCAAACCACACACTAGAAAGTGAAGGGACGAGACGTTTCGGTCCGTCCTGGACCATTCTCCAGTCAATTGTGAAATATTAATCGACATAAGAATGGTCCAGGACAGACCGAAACGTCTCATCCTTTCACTTTCTAGTGTGTGGTTTGGTCAACATATTTCAGCCACGTTATTGTGACTCCTCGTCTGCACAATACTAAAATGTTTGCTCAGTATAGCAAAAGTATTATTTAATGTTATACATGGAAGGTTGTTTAATACTCTACAATAAAAACCACGGCAACATTATTTTCAAAACAATCTATATTAAGTAAGGTACAGTACATTGAGAAAATCCACAGGAACCGTGATGAGGAGAGGATTCTAACTTAGACGCTGGGTGTTCCCAGATGCGCGCTCTAGTTGACTACGCCACGACATGGTAAAAGAACTGCAACTTGGGTACTACTGCACCCTCAAGGATTCCAGAGGCTTCCACTGAAGCCAAACCAGGGTTTCACACAATTCCCAATGCACTCTGTCTCATCAACATCAATTACCTCCGATGTCCGGTAATTCTACCTCTGAAGCCCCCTCTTTCAATACACTGAGAAATCATGTTATCGCAATAATGGGATTTCTGTGTATTGTCAGAAGTAGAATTACTGGACATCTGCGCCAGAGTGCATGGGGGGAATTGTGAGAAACCCTGGTTTGGCTTCAGTGGAAACCTCTGGAATCCTTGAGGGTGCAGTAGTACCCCAGGTTGCAATTCTTTTACCATGTCGTTGCCTAGTCAACTAGAGGGTGCATCTGGGAACACCCAGCGCCTAGGTTTGAATCCTCATCACAGCTCCTGTGGATTTTCTCATTGATATATCATGATAATGTGATTTCTATGTGTAATGTACAGTACATTATTACTAGACATGTGAAATGTATCTCAGCACTACAAGAGACTACATAAATCAGTAAATCCATTATCTTTCTAATAAATATTCACAACCAAATTTTTACTAATCATTAATTACATACTAAATTGATGAACGAATTAAACTACTGTATTAGTAAAATTGACATCCACACTTCCGTGGAAATAAACATCCCATTCACCTGGGCTCTAGGAGACTTAAACCCCGGACCCCACACATGGGGTCCATGGTTCGAGTCTCCTAGCGCCCAGGTGAATGGTACTGTATTAGTATTGCAAATAGATAAAATGTTACATTACACCAGTCCAAGACTTGACTCTTCCCCTGAACCACTTACTTCAAGGCTAGCTTATTCATGAGTCTTTATTTTAAATTTCACAATGAATGTTTATGAAATGATTGAAAAAATTGTATCATGTTTGGGAAAACAAGCAGAAAATTATAGGTGCTATATTTTTGCCATGGTAGACTGATAAAGATGACAAATCATGAACGTATATTTTTGTTTGCTCATTAGCTTAAAGTCTCGTACACACTTATTTCTTTAAATACAAAGGACTCCGTTTTAAATGGGATAACTGGATCTGGAATCTCTTTTATTGAATTTGATTTTTCATTGAATATGAGCCTTGATATTTCTTCAAATTTGTGCCACTTTCTTATTTTTGTGCAAATTACAGAAAAAAACACTTTAAATAATGTTTAATATAAATAATAATAATTTAACATTTGTTTATGCTAATATGCATGACAATTCCTCTTATTTAGCAGATTGGCATCTTCTTGATACAGTATATTTGATCTTCCATCTGAATTGGTTTCATTGGAGCAGCAATCTAATGTACACTATACATAAGAATGCTAACAAATATATGACTCAATTGACACTGGTCATAGCAGTTAAAACCAATTTATATATTTAAGAATATTAAAGTAAATCATAAATAAATTTTCTCATTGTATACCATTTAATAAATACCCATTCTAACTTCAATAATTTAGTATCACTTAGTATAAAAAAAACACCTCTTAAAAATAACTTAAAACTTAAAATACTGTAATAAAATAAACTATACACCTTTTTCATCTAAACTTCCTCTTTATGCAGTATATATTTTCTCTTAATAGGTCATCAGTTTCTTTACAGCACTGAGGCAGCGCCACTTGTCTGGTAAATAAAATGGTTCAAAGATGTGGGGAAATGGAGTATCGAAGCCACAAACACGTTCAATTGGGGCTTCTAGATGAAGGAAGCATTCACTCTGTAAAAATTTAAGAACCGACTGTAATAAAACGCCCTTTGCTGGTGGGCCTCTCAGTAGCTTCCTGAGCTTAAAAACTCATATAGCATGTCTTAAACTGTAGCAGGCCTCTGAGACCCACCCTGACCTACCAGGAGCCAGGACCAGAATCTGGAACTTGACAAAGCAAATGAAGCCTTGGGATCCACCCAAAACAAAGAAAAAATCTACCAGAAGACTAGGTGTAACAAAACAAAACATGCAAATGTCTGAAGGAAAATAATAACTCTGACATAAACAAGGCAAACATTATTACTGTGGGGGAACTATTCTAAAGTAATGGGCCCAATTGTCACCAGATGCTAGCTCAAGTTTCAAGGAATCCTGACCAGCCACACACCACACTCACACCACAGCCTGGTACATTTCTGGTTTGTGGGAAACAACCGAGGAGCAAAAACCCAAATCAAGGATGGACTACCAAAGAACCCCAAGCCCAAATAATAGCAGTGGACCTAAAACCAATAACGAAGCCACAGCAGCAAAAAGGCCCTTCACCATGGAAATATAAATGACCTCCAGACCTTAGAGAACATGGAAAAGCCACACCGGCAACCTTGGGGTAAAAAGACTACTGGCAAAAGGAAGTCAGCACTCAGACAATGAACCAGACCAGACACAACTAGAACAGAATATCAAAAGGCACCAGGAAAGAGCAAGAAACCAGGAAAAAACCCAAGACCCCCAAAGGTGGATTCGAAAGGACTACAAGATCAGGTCACTGATGGAGAGCAAGCCACTGGAGGAAATCAAATATCATCAAGGCTCAATCACTAATCCCAGTAGCTGTGAAAGAGGAGACCAGCAAAGCACTGATCCAGAGAGCAGAGATATGCTACCCAGCTGGGAAAACAAGTGACCTAAAACTCCTGGATTGACATCAGGCATTCAGATCCCAAAAGAACATGACACAGGGGAAATGGAAACAATCCCATAACCTTTGGAACTGCCCATTAGGCCAGAGGACTGGAAACACCCGTCTGGGTTAATCAGCATGGGACAAAGGCCATAACTAGAAGCCAGGAGCCCCTTTGTCAAAATAGAACACCATCCTGACAATCAGAAATGCTACCTGAAAACTCAGGACACCTGCCGAGAAGGCAGAGAACATGGAGTCTGTACAGCACTGGGTATGTAGTGCAATGGAAAATAACCCTCCAGTTCCTATTCAGAAAAGTTGACGACAACAGGACAGCCCAAAAGAAGAAGGTAAAAACAGCCGAACGCTTACAGCACACATTAGGGGATAAGACCAAAGAGCCCAGAAGAAAACCAAGCCCCCAGAACCAACAGGTAAAGAGATGCCACTGCAACAGCTAGGCAAGCAAAATATCAGACACAAAGAAGTTAATACTAGAGAATTAAATGCATACCAGGCACAAAAAATCTCAAACTCCACACAAATGCACAACCCAGATGGGTACACTGTACAGGAATCAGTGGGCAAACAAAATGGGAACTAGCAAGCATACAGCACATCAACTGGCAAGTACACAGCATGAAAACCAGCAGTCATGGGAACTGGCAGGTACACAGCATGGGATCTAGCAGGCACAAAGCATGGAAACTGACTAGCAGTGGTGAGTACTATTAACCCTTAGGCTGTGATTATCCTCTATGGATGATCCCTAGGATACTGTGGTTATCATCATATGAAGAGTTAAGCAATTATTGTCTGGGTTTTAAATGAATGATGCAAATATGGATTTATTGGTCTCTGTGGATGTAAGTAAGAAAAGCAAGTCATAAAACAATCTCAGTGAAACATCCGATGATAAAACAGAAGGCGTCAGCAAAGTCAAGCACCCAGCTTTGACAAGTGCCAGTTGCAGCCTTGCAGAGTGCTTCCACCCAGTGAAATGTTAAATGTTCACGTTCACTATTTTAATGTTTTTCTTACATTTTGCATATAAATGAATAATGCTATAATGAAAAAATATTTTGGGGAATTTTCTTATTTTTTGTGCATAGGCAGGCATGACCATTTCTCCACAGCTGCTGTCTAATGGTTAAGGAACTCCAGCTGATCTGTTTACACCCAGATCAGACATTTTGTACATGCTGGCAGGTAAACAAATAGCCAAGAAGAGTAAACACAGAGTGCAAGTGACGGGGAATATGTAAACACTCGGCCCCGAGGGATGGAAAACCACAACTACATTTGCATCTCTTAATGATTCAGGTTTTCTTCACAGCTCTAAAGATTTATTACTTAAGCAAGACATGGGTTCACTAAGCTCACACAGTATTTACATTCTTTAAATATCCAGGTAGAACTTTATCTAATCCTGGGGACTTGTTGGGCTTAAAGTTCTGTTAATAAATTACTCCCTGGTAAAACTAAACTTTCTTCTCTTCTCTGTCTATATAAGATTTCTTCAACTGCAGGTCAAATTTCAAGTTCTTCTCTTGTAAGAAAAAATACTTGTTTAAAATATTACCAAATTTTGTCATCATTTACACTGTCCCATTGTTCAGTGGCCCAGTCTTCTCCTTAATTATAGCACTTTAGGATTTAGCTTAGCCTGCCCAGCTATATGCACTTCATATATTACTTTAGCTTCTCTTATCGTTCTTCCTAACTGCAACTAGTTATATAATTTGTTCTATATAATCTTTCCCATCTTAATATATTTGTTTATAGGTTTCTTTTTTTCCAATCAGGTCTTTTACCCATATGTTCACTCATTCTGGTTCAGTATTATTTGACCTGAATGATTTATGTAATCTACTACAATCCCCAGGTATAAATAAAATAGACTTAATAGAATGGCTTCCTTGTAGCAATGACTGTTTTACCTTCCTTACCTTAGGGTTACTAATTTCCTTCAAAGCAATCACTTATTTTGTAATGTTTAACCTATCTATTATGGCAAGATTTTGCTTGGTTTATGAAGACTTGCTTTGCAATGGAATACAAATAATTCCACTGTAAAAAAATTAATTCAATTGAAATCAGTAAATAAAAATCATCCATAGATTACTGGTGTAATCACATATGCTTGTTGCACCAGCCAAGCCTACGAGAAACACGAGAAGCATTAAAAATCAGCAATAATTAGTGTCACATCCATTTAATATTAGGGTGTCAAAAGTCTATTAGAATATCGTTAGCATACATTTCTTACATTAAACATTAAATAAGATTGTATTAGACCAATACCAAAGTGTATTAGGCATAACAGAACTTAGTGAATTTAAATACTGTAAATTAGAAATAAAATAAGAAATCATAGAGGCTGTCCCTTTTTCCATAATATGAAACTGACTTAAATGACGAGCTAATGACTTGGTGTCACATGAATGTAAGTGAGCAACAACAAAGGTAAGGATGCTGGCATCAGTTTGTCACTAGACATGCATAAACATTATTGGCCAAAAAGCACATACTAGTGCCTTTGATTGTGCCACATAATAAACATAACTGTGCCATGTTGAACTATAAGGCAAGTTGGCATAGTTAAGTCACTGTAAAATTTGGACTAAAATAAATAGCATAGTACATTATTGTGAAGAGCCCATAAAAACCTCATTATATCACTACCAAGCCATTGTCTTCAGGACCAATACAGTCATCACTTTCTTGTACTGTAATGTATAATGAATATTCTATAATGTTGATGGATCCACAACTAAATAACAATATAGCACTGTATACAGGTCTCCAATTATAAAGTGGGAAAAATCCCACAAATAGGCCAGTATTTTAAGATAACTATGAATATTACCAAGTCAGTGGTTAAAGGAATCATAAGAAAATACTGTATTTAATATTGAACAACAGTTAGTATTATTCTACAATGTAAACTAGGTTATTAACCTCCCAAGCTGCTAAGAGCTATTTGGCCTTTGTCACCCACAGGCGCATTAAAAAAACTAAATTTTTTCCTTTTATAAACCTGTTAATTTGTGTTCCCTGATCACGGAAAAAATAATAAAAAAAATCGTAGGTGGCATATTTTGGCCACAATAGGGCGGGGAAGTCTGGCAAAAAAGAGGAGCTGACTCGGCAAACGTCCGAGGCGGTTTGCTCTGCCCCAGCTGTCAGGCGGGAGTTGCCACAAAAATATAATTACCTAATTATTTCAATGTCTCTGATTGATATTTTCTTTGTTTTTTTGCTGTATTATTATTCAATAGTGTGTAGTGTAATATATTTATGTAATAAAATGTGTGAATCATCGCTGTACTCAAAATTATGGTGTGCATATTATTGATTCAATTATTGTGTTCATAAAACAATAAACAAATACTTTGTTGGTTATTACACTATATACGCAGGTTACATATAAGTATCTACATGTTTTGTTCACCATAACGAACCACAAAGTTGATATTGCGAGTCAAAAAGCAGCGAGGTGTGGCCACCATATCTGCCTGTCAGCCTCTCGCTGCCACTCCCTCCCTCAATGACTCCTCACTCGCCAACATCCTCCTCCCACCATACTGTTTTTGCTTCTATTCACTATATACAGATGTTATATGTAAGTATCTACATGTTCTGTTCACCATAACTGTTCATCTAAGCTGGTATCGTGCACAAAGAGCATAGTGGTCATCCTTACACAGCATGACAAGTCAGGAAGATGATGCCACCTCCCTCACCAAAATGGCTTCTCCCAATACTTCTTTTGCTGTTATTACACTATATGTACATGTTATATCTACATTTGTGTTCATCATAGCAAACCACTAATCTTGTATGGTGACGGCAGACAGTAACAGGTGGCCACACACAACTAATGCTCCCTTCCTCACTGGTTCAAGGTCAGACGCATTAACATTCCTCCTTCAAGTATACTGTTTGTGGTGTTATTACCCTATATACACACACATTATATATAAGTATCTACTTGTTTTGTTCACCATAACTGTTCAACTAAGCTGGTATAGTGCCCAAAGAGCATAGTGGCCACCCTTACCCAACATGACAAGTCATGCAGATGTCGCCCCCTCCCTAC